TTATTTGATACTCGCAAAACATCTCCGCGGCATTTTCGACGGCACTTATCACAATAAATTTTACCTTAAGTTTTAGCGAACTTTATTACTTTTTATATTTTACTCCTTACCCATTTCTAGCTATCATCCACAAGCTAACCACATGAGTGATTTCAAATATAACTTTTAGACGACCCTGAGTATACTTACAAGTATGTGAGTTGGTAAAACAAAGAAATGGAACACTGTAAAAACTTTTTTTCAAAGCATAGGAAGAAGTGACTTTATAAACATGTAACCAATGTTTTGAAGTAAGCCTGTGGTTTTTGTTGGCTGTATTGGTACATTAATGTTTGCTGAATACCTCCAAGTCAACCAGTATTATTGTCCAGATGCTTTTGCAAATTAAATGAAATTGAGTGATTATCGATGCGTATCTGACTAAGTAGTTGGAGGATTACACTTATATGAGGGCCACAAGTCGTCCGAACCTGCGTAAAATCGTGATATTTTTTCACAGTATGAATCAGAACAATGCAATATTCCATGCTATCTGACACCGTCGTTTTTTTCGTATTAATGGTCTATCAATTAGGTTTAACTCCATGCCTACTATATCTCCAGTTCCTTTAAAGATATAAAGCGATATGAAGCCCTCGGCTCGTCACGTTTCAGACAAATTCAGGTAGAATAATTAATTGAACAACCAAAAGCTCGCTATCCCTGAAAACAGCGACTGGTCATGACATAGAATAGTAACACTTCACACTTCCTAGGGGACTCTGTCAGCAAATACTCATCTACGGGTTTGACACTGGGTATGAGCACATGAAGTATGTGAATGTTCCTGCCAACTCATATCGTATATTTAATAAAGTATACGCTGCTGTGGGACTTTGCTCAAGAATAATAAATAGTGTGAGCGCTGAATTGTACAAAACAGATCTAATAGATAACTTATCACCCCATCTTCATCATGCTTATGCTTTACAACTCGGATATCGTCCCTCACAAAAAAATATGAATATCAATAACGTGCCCCTCAGACGACGGCCAAACAGGCTAACAGATTTTATTATACGAAAGCCACAAGTTTCTGAATATATATATTAACGGGTAATATCCAATGATGAAATGGAACAGATAACTAGAAAAGTTGCAAATATTTTTATCCAAAACAGACAAGAAAGTAGTTGGTAAAAAGTAATTGTCAGTGGAAAATCAATACTGACCCCCATTGTTCGGTGTAGATTGAAAGTCGCCTCCGTTAAATAACTGTAATTACAATGTGTTGCGGTAGGAATATACTGAAGCCACCTTAGCATAGCATAACTAATGTCTTAAAGGATTCGTACAAAGTCAAATCAGAGATCTCGTAGTTGTCAATCAACGAGAACAGGAAAGTATTAAGCTGTGAATCTGTATGTAACGACCAAAATGCTAGTATTCGATTTGAATGCAGAACTAACTAAACAAAGTTTGTTCGATTAGACCAGACTACGTTCTTCTGTACAGAGTACGATGCGTTTTTGATTTACTCGTATTAAATCATATCAAAAACACAAGCTCCGTGTCCAATTTAAATGGTTCTAATTTGAGGAGGAGAACACATTATATCAAAAATATAAAATACCTCAAACGATGCAGCCTGTGCTATGCAGTCAAGAATTTCTCTAACACAAATTGGAGTGATAAACAACAAAAGGGGTGGTTAATACACAAGAGTTCAACACCTGAGAATCAATAAAAATATTCCCAACGAGACTGGATCAAATATCTATCCTCAGGGATTCCAGTAGTCTTTCCAAGAAGATAGTCAAAGATTAACAATCATACACTGGACCACGCCGTGTACTTGAGCTTAGGCAAACACAATCTTATTGTCAATAGTGTGAAAATGTGCAACAGAAAAATTAGGTAGCAGAAGGCAAATCTTTAACCAAAGTAAAAGCTCAGACAAGGAAGACCAAAGAAGACAAATTGTGGTTAAAAGAGATTTGAATGAAGGTTAAAATACACGACAGGGAGAATAAGCAAATAAATGACTGTACTGTACAACGAAATGCTGTGAAGGGCTTATCAGCGTTTTCTTGCCATTAATCTCAGAGTTGTTATGCATCAAATGTTGCGTGCTATTCTCAGAGTAATTTACTGTAGTATAATACTGGGTCATCGTCTCTTGAAAAATTACACAAACTCTGTTGAAGTGGCGCAGTTGAATTTGTTTCAGTTCTTTCTCTAGATCACTATTTGTACTCACTTTATGATTCGGTTTATATAGGCTGAAAAGCTTCCATATCATTTTTAAGTTATCCACTGTTTCGACAAGACAATACAGTAGTTTAATGTACATGGTATGTGCCTAGCATCGGAACCCGAGAGTTTTAATCCATATAGAATTCGACATTTATAAATACCTACAACAAACCAGTTACAAGCCTTCACCAATACCCTATTACTTACTATAAAAGTTTGTTTCAACTTTAACTCTGGATCACTGAGGAAAAGCTGCCGTTTAAAAAAAGTAAACGGATTTGAGTCACTGTGTTAACATCAACAATGAAATGTACAAACGTTTAACTGACGAGTTCCAAGTAGGATCAAATGAATGCCATGGACACTGTATAACAACCATGCGAAAACTTTCCACTATACTTTGGGTAAAAGGTTTTGAATTGGTGTAAAATATTCTCTAAAATCAATGAATCTACCTTCTACCCGATACTTCCTTGAAATTATTCTATTGATTATGAATTCTGCCCAACATAAAGGAAAACGTCAATTGATTTCCTAATTTTAATTATCAGCAGACTTAATAAGAATACTATCTCATGAAAGCGAGGTGAGCATTTCAACAAAATTGATGTTATGTTCGTGTGAATAGAACAGTTAGAACGATATTGTGGTCTTACCTCAAAAGAATAAACCACTATTTCTCAAGCATCATAAAACATTTACCTTTACGTTAAACTCTTCTATTATTATACATCCCATAATTAATTTTGAGAGAAACGCATGAGACGCTTATTCACCTTAGTGTTTCTAATCATTCAGAAACTTGATTCCAGTAGTTATCATCTCATGTAAACATGGATTCCTTACAAAGTTATTGGAATCCACAAATTGTTACTGATAATGATGTGTAAGACACATAGATACAAGACCTCAAAACTCTTGTTTAAGTAACGTTGCAGTATTTTTTTTAGTGTGAAAGTTCACCAAAATTGGAGCTGATTAGAGTCTGTAGCGTGGCGTTGAGTTGAGATTATCTATGAACACCGCTACCAAGAAACACGTGCCAGGTAAATCAGAAGGCGGAGGTTGAACGTAACCAGATTTATTTGGTTGGCGATCTCGTGGTATTGAACGAATACCGAGATCGTGCCAAGGAATGGTACAAGTGTAAGCAGAGGACAGGAGTACGTGCGAACAGTACCAAAAACCGCGGAACAATGATGGAAGGTAATGGAAGCACAAAATGGCTATAATTAGCACAGTTAAACAAAAGCACATTAAAACAAACACTGGTACAGTCGGTTATAATAATAGTTGTTTCTATCAAATCAGTCGTGTTCTCGTGATAAATGGTGGGTCGCTACAGGATCCCCCCGCTAGAAAGGGCTTACACTTTCGATAAATAGCGGTTTAAATCGTGGGACTGATCGGCTGACGAGCGATTGTAGGACGGAAGAATTGGCGAACAGGAAAGCGATCGTTGATCGTCGAGTTGCCAACGAAGGTCGTTTTCGGAGAACGGTACCAGGAGCGATGTGCTGTATTTATTGCTTGAGTTGGCATGTCACACCAGAGTGGTTTGTATCCAGAATCTGAAGATTGCGTTCGTAGGGAATGCGGACCAGAAACGCTGCAGACGAAGGACGAAACCACGTTCAGCCAAAAGACCAGAAGCGACCGTAACGACCAAGTTCGAGACCAAGCGTATGCCAAGCATTCGAAACCAATATATCGACTGAGTGCGTTGACAAGAGCGTGGGTGGCCAATCCAGCTTTCGCCAAAGTTGACTGAAGTCGACGGAACCAAACGGAGATGGTCGAAGGCGTAGGCTCAGGAAACAAAAAGAAAATCAAAAAAGAGAAGAGTGTAGCATGCGTGTAGCATAGGAATATTCCTACACCGTATCGGTTGTTGACTGTGCGACTAGTCGCGGAAGCGTACGGGCAACCGTACTCGGCGACCGGAACGTGAGACGGTAGTCTAGTTCGCGTCGCGTGAGCCTGCAATCTCATCCGAAGTCAAGGGCGGCGTGGTCTGCTGATCTGGACGTGAGACTGTCGTCTCGTCCGTAGACGGTGCAGATGACGCGTGCTGTTGACTGGGACGTGAGAATGAGGTCTCAGGTGTATCTAGCGTGGGACCTGAAGATGGTTTGAGGATCCCGCTAGTAGGTTTGATAGGTCTAGCATTGAATCTCAGGTTGTCAGATAGGGCACTGTCATCGACGCGTGCTGGTTTGAGACGATCAATGCTGACGATCTCGACGCGGCCGTGTCGATCAACCTTGAAGGTCTTTTCGTGACGAGCGATCAAGCGAAAAGGGCGTTCGTAAAGTTGTTGCAAAGGTTTGCGTACCGAATCTACTCGTATGAAAACATGTGAACAGGTAGATAACTCTCAAGGGAGAGCGACCTGTCGATGTTGTATTCGAGTTGACACCGGAGACATCGTTCGCATAAATGCAGACAGTCGATGGACCTAGTCTGATTTACCAAAATCAGGTCTGCTCCGTGGTGTGAAGAATTCCCCAACAGACGCAATGTCGTGTCGTATACAAGTTCAGCGGCGGAACATTGGATATCTGCCTTCAAGCTCGTTCGAATACCTAAGAGAACGAGCGGTAAGGTTTCGTTCTAGTCGTCGTTTTCTTGTGCTCGAAGAGCACTTTTAAGTTGACGGTGAAACCGTTCTGGGTTAACTACCAGCTCATATCCAACCTACTGTGACGGCACTGCTCGAGGACTCACCGCTTAACCAGGTAGCCCTCATAGCAGTCAAAATTTTAGCGAGGACTAGTAATAGAGACACCTATGTACTTGCTTCGACGGCACGTCCTAAAGTAGACATGGATGCCGGTCATTCCTCAGCTCATGGTGACAGGGACGGGTGTATTCACACACGTCTTAGTTTTCGAGACCGTTGTAACGTACCCCAACCCTACGTCCCCCGAGCTCGCTCAAGTTCTCGCGAACCCGTCACCACTCGCCCAAAAAGGGCATCTTCCAAGCCATGCCGAAAGGCGGCTACGGAAGCGAGTAACAGTTGGTGCTGGTTCCATAGGTCCTTCGGGTCTGGCGCCCGCCGTTGTCGAGCACCATGCTCATACAAGGCGGGAAACGCCAGCGCCGGCGAGTAAAAGCGGCCGTACTCGCCGGCCCTTCTCCCCAGGTTGGTCGCTTATTCTATGTGCACGATTATCGCACAAACGCTAGGTTCCTAGTAGACACTGGGGCCCAAGTTTCTGTCGTACCACGAGGTAGCAGCAAGTCACAAGCCACAGTGCTTCGACTACGCGCTGCGAATGACTCAGTCATTCCTACCTACGGTACACGACAACTCGCGGTCAACCTGTGCGATCGACGACGGTATCTGTGGACGTTCATCATTGCTGATGTTCCCACAGCCATACTAGGTATCGATTTTCTACAGCACTATGAATTGCTTGTCGATTCACGTAGGCTGCAGCTAATCGATACTTCGTCGAACAGTAAATTCATGGGCTGTAAAGCCCACATGAACGCGTACCGAATCCTCGGCACTTTTTACTCGCGTGACGATAAATTCCACGCTTTATTCGAAAAATTCCCCGTACTCACTAAACCACTCGAGGAGATTCCATCGGTGACCGATCGTGTGGTACACCACATAGTCACCCGCGGACCGCCAGTCACGGCACGACCTCGCCGACTGGCACCGGACAAATTAGCTTTCGCTAAACGTGAGTTTGACAATTTACTAGCTACTAGTATTATTCGTCCTTCTCACAGTACATGGGCCTCTTCTCTTCACATGGTGCGCAGAAAAGATAGGGTTAGTTGGAGACTATGCGGCGACTACCGAGCTTTAAACGTAGTTACGCGCTTTGATAGCTACCCCATCCCTCACATACACGACATCACGGCATCGCTCAAGGGCACGACCATCTTTTCTAAGATCGATCTGGTACGAGCATATCATCAGATCCCAGTCGCTCTTGAAGATATCGAAAAAACTGCAATCATGACTCCTTTCGGTTTGTTTGAGTTCCTACGAATGCCGTTTGGATTACGGAATGCTGCTCAAACTTTTCAAAGGTTTATCGATAGCATTGTACATTTCAGTGGATTTCGTTTCACCCACTGAAATATTTTGTCAATAGCATATATATATATATATATATGTATATATATGCATCACTTTAACTGAGAGTAGTTTATTCTCATGTGTGATTGAAATAATTTCATTTCAACAACTCGGTCACACGTTGATCCTGATGATGGTGAGCTGATATCAACTGAACTGCGGTGTTGATAGTTCTCAACGATTTGTCCTCTTGATACTGTGAATAAACCAAAGGTCTAAATGGATATTATTCACAATCATAATGACTTGTTTAGATGAAGTCAACTGAGCATTGATAGGTTTCACTGAATCTCTTTGGTAAACGTTTACTGAATGACAATTTATTGATCTTTCGGTGTTTTTCAAGCCATACTTTATCTTCAAACATCTGTTGAATCTATTCAATCATGCAGTTTTTGTCAGTAACCTGTATCAGACAGAGTAACGAGTGAACATCGGTCATTGTGCAGATTATCATTTGGTAGTTTGTAATAAATTTATAGATGCCTTCAACTCCAAAATACATTTGTAGAATTATGGTCCAGTCCAATAATACAATAACAGATCTTATTCTAAAATTGTAAATTAGGCATGTGACAACGTAGTCCATAAGATCTTACGTGAAAGTCACATTACTGTCTACCCTGACTCATCATACCACGACAATCCGAATAGTGAGTCTATTCTGCCCAACTAGTTGCGAAAACTTCATAAAACACCTGATCCCAACCCAGTTCGTTCTAGGTTACTGAAATACCATTTTCCGTAAATAATGGAGGGGGCTTAAAGCCCAAGTGGATCAAACAATGAGGATAACCTTGATAGCATTACTCCGAAATATTTTCTCTACCTGTCCAGTGTGTCATTTGTCACGTTCCACAGCAATCCATATGTGAATTCCATATGTTAAGGTTCCATAGACAAATCAAGCATTTCGATACTTGATGTTGTGGGTCTATTCCCCTCAGTGCTTTGATGTGGTCAGAAAAAGATTCTGTCAATATAAATCTTCCCTTCAACAATACATCTTTGATATTAGCCGGGAAACATTGTGCCACTTCAGTACTCTCAAAAGATGCAACACCATCATCCACGTAAAAGTGATTGTCTGACAGACCCACAAATTCTGGTCTACCTTGCACAAATATGGTTGTAGCTCGTCGCACGGCATGGTTGGTATTAGTTGAGGATTCGTCACCAATCTCATGGACGGTCATTCTGTACTCATAGTTGTTCTCTATTAATTTTTCACCCCATCAAAAAACATACGGTGATCTTTATTTTCTTTGAGCAATTAAACCTGTAGGAAAATTTATACTATATGCACTACCGTTGCGATTGGATACTGTTCGGAAACAAAAAAACACGCAATAACGATGCTGGCCGATTTAATCAACTTAGTACGGTGTTTTGTGACACAACGTGATGCTCCACTGAGCAGTCGTACGAGGCTTGTAACAGCTTAGTTTGGTTGGTTAAGAGTTGACCCCAAACAACCAAGCATATGCCAAGACAGTATTGTTCAAGTGTTCACTCACTTCCTTGTTTTGTATAAGCGTTATATTCCCTATTATCTTATACTGAATGTTGAGAGCCTTTGTTTGTCTGAACAGGTAATCGCACGCTCCACTGTTACCGCGCTGAGATCGAAATAAAGACCTATTCACTACTTCTCTGGTTTCTTCTATCAATAGCACGAGGGTTACCTTAAGGCACGAAAGGCTCCATGTTTGCCCGGTTTCCTTATGTTAATAACTGAATGGTATGGCAAGCACCATCCTCCGCGTGCTTCTCCTGAAACCCCTTTAAAGTACTCTTTCTTTACGTGCTTATTTCTTGCTCCATTATATTTTGTCGGCAACTAAGGGTTTCTTTTGATTTCACTCTTTAATCTGTCAAGGAGCATGGTTGCTGCCTCAAGACTACACGGTAACTTTCCCTCATCGGTTCTCTGAAGAACACTGGGCAGGAAACGCTATTGTGAAATTCACATGACCTTTCTGCTAGTTTCACTGCCTTGGTATCTTAAGCAGGCAATCTCTTTTATTTCAGATCACTGTCAATAGAGTCTTTATTGAGTATTATTTAATACTCCTATTTCCGGATTAGACCCTATTCTGTGTAACGACCGAACTGCCAGTATTCCGTTTGAATGCAGGACTGAAGAACCAAAATTTGTCCGAATAGACCGGACAACATTCTTCTGTATAGCTCACAAAGCGTCTTTGAGACACTCGTATTTAATTATATCAAAACAGAAACTCCGTACTCAATTTAAACGGCTCTAATTTAGGAAATAGAACAAATTATATCAGAAACACAAAATACCCCGAACGGTACAGCCTATGATATACAGTCAGAAGTTTCTCTGACGCAAAGTAGCGCGCTAAGCAATAAAAGGAACAATTGATATTAAAGGGTACGATATCTGAGATTCAATAAAATATTCCCGACAAGATGGGATCAAATATCTATCCGCAGGGATTCCAGCAATCCTCCCAAGCAGATAGTCAAAAGGTTATCAGACACATACTGAATCAAGCCGAGACCTCGAGCTTGGTCAGACACGACCTTACGGTCAATAGTCCGGCAACATGTAATAGAAAATTAAATAACAGAAGATAAGTCTTTAATCGAAATCACATACTAAAGACTGAAGAACAAAAGGTGTAGTTAAACGAGATCTAAACAAAGGTTAAAATACACGACCGGGAGAAGAAACAAATATATGACGGCACTGTCCAACAAAAAAGCTGCGAAAGCATTATCATCGTTCTCTTTCCGTTACATTGTGGTTCAAGTGATTTCTACTTTCGACGGCACTAGGCCTGTTATGAGCAAGCCCAAAGGTTTTTTCGTCGCATATAATTCATTCATACCTCAAACCACTGTTTCAGAAATCGATGAACCTCTGTAACGCTCCACCGAATCAGGACCATGACCCTTTTGTTTAATAACGTTGGAATGCACAACCCAGTCGAATAAGGCATTTTTGAAAGCATGAGGTCATATGGCAATGGTACTTTTTCAGTCTTATATGCTATGTTTCATAGGCTGTGGGTAGGTATACCATTGAGTCTCTTGCCTAGAACCATATCTTAAATGATTTTCATTCATACCACCATCTTCCTGAAGAATTCACCGTACTAACTTCAAAGTCATTTTTACCCTTAATACTAGGGCGACAAGTTTACTCTGCGTTAACCAATGAAATGTTCGACCCACCATCTAATAATAAACGTACATGATCATACAATAAGGGTCCCTGAATTGTAAACGGGACTACTACCACGTAAATCTATTCTACATCAGGTATTGTATTAATGCAGTTCCTATTACCCGCTAAACAGTCAACTTGCATTATGTTAACTCTTAACTCTAAGCCCTCAAAAACGAATGGATATTTTCCTTACACACTTTACATGTACATAGGTTTTCACTTCATAAGTACTCCCACAAACTCCGTTTCTCGTCGCAAAATTAAGCTAGCAACCTTGTCTCAATACTTTTAACGGTGTTATTCGCTCCACATATCGCACTACAGTTTCTCATCTACTACAATAGCGTTTGTAGCCAATACTCAGTTTTCAGCAATGAAGTGACTGATCTTTGATCTCTCACACGCTATATGGGCAAATCTCTTTAGGAACTGATCCACTTCGGGATCAACAAAGTGTAGAATATACCGAAATTCCAGCTATCTATCTTCGTTTTCTACGGAAGCGCTAATCTTTATCCATCTTCTTTGTAATCGAGTAGGGGTGAGCTTGTTCACTACCTCCGTTACAGACGTCAAATCTAGTTTATGACTTGTTTTCATAAACAACAGGGAGTTTCTATAAGATGGCAAGTTATACACCGTCTGTAACATCCTTATTTTGCCTGTAGTTGTCCTTGACAGGTTTTACTTCTCTTCCTACCACTACAAAGGGTCTACCGCGTTTTTGCTTCAGTATCTTCTTTTCCCCGTTATATGCTTTAGTGGTTAGTATGAATTCACGATATTTGATTGCTCTTGTGGCTGCTCCAGGACACCGCCTCGCTTAACATTTGAGTGTTGTGTTTCCTAATCAATCATCCGCTACCAGTACTTGACTTATTAATGAAACGTGATACCTCATCAGTGCATATTGCTAAGCAAACACCCAAAAGAATGACTTAATAAAGTTTATTCTTTTAAAACAAACGAAATTAAGAATTAGATATTACTGAACTGGGTTATAAATACGGTTGGAAACACTAAGAGTGCACATTTTTCGACTTCGATTCGCGTCGTTACCATCTGTTGAAGTCTAAACATACACATCCTCTTTAATTCTAAGTGCTCTACATTCTCTACTAAAGTAGCCGTAGTTGCAGAGTAATCGTAGTTCCAAATAGTTTTGGGATTTCAGAGAAATCAGTAAACAAATATGTTGTTTAGATACAGTATATTCGATGCTACAGTGTAATTAACGCGTAACTTTGTAATGTAATGTAAATTGGTCAACATCCATAATTACTTTTCAGATGAATGATTTTAATATAAAATCTTATCAACATTAGTAGTCAAAATTTTATCGTTCAACTACCGTTTTAATCACAATTTATATGGCTGATACTCATATGACGAATACATGTTCGACAAACATTTCATACTACTCAAATCGTCTTTCTAAACTGTTCACTAATGTAGGGATGTAAAGCTGTTTTTGACAACACCCCATAAAATATATTGAAGCTGGTATATGGATAGAGCTTACAGTTGCAAACAATCTAAAAATGATATCGAGGAACACTCAAATATGGAAAATGTCACAATAAAATAAACACTCGGCAGATCCAAAATATCGATTCCTGTGTACGTAGAGGATCTGATTACAACGAACAAAATAACATTCATGCACTTATGGAAATACTCGATCAATGGCGGCCTGCTTGAACACCTGGGATACGTGTTCCTTCCATCCATGTATTTCGACAAGTTATCTAA